TGGAGGGGTCAAGAAGCAGTTGTGCGTGTGTGTGTTTGAGTGTGTGTGGTGGGGTAAGGGGACAGCTTGAGTTTCCTCCCTTCCTCGAGCTGTTCCAGGCCCTCTGGGTCCAACATGGGCAGCTCCTGGAGAAGCTGTGTGAGTTAAAATGGAGAACTCTATGGTAGCCTGTGCCTCTCTTGAACCCATGTCTCTGGAGTGACTCATGATGAGGGAGCGGAGGTAGCTCCTACCACGTTTCCCTACCAGAAGCCCATGGGAGAACTGGAGACTCCTCCCTTGGCTGTGCCCATGGCCATGAGCCCCCAGCTTCCCACGAAGAAGTGTACCCCAGCCCAGAGGTCCCAGTCCATGGTATGGGAGGAAGACTTTGGCCAGGAGAGACTCAGGCCTACAACCTTGCCTTCTGCTTCCTGCAGGGGGCGCCATATCCACCAAGAAGTCACCTCCGTCTCCCAGCAGCTCTGGGCATCAGAACAGGAGGTTTTCCTCTGAAGGTATCATAGGCTCCTGTCATGCCTCTGGGACACTCTGGTTTGGGAGTGGAGCAGCCTGGGTGCACTTTCTGGCCCGAGGCCCCGCTGCTGCCTATGTCACATGGGGAGCAGAGAGCTGGTGCCACCGGTTTAGTTCCTCATGAATTCATGTCGGGACCAGTTATATTGTATCAGCTGAGATATTGGGGAACTTACTTGCAAAGACCTTAAAGCCAGGCATCAAACTGAAGATTTTCCCCAATATAGGAAGAAGCCCCTTTCCCGTCATGAATGTGTGGACATTTTATATCTCTTTTGATGCTTGAGGGACATTTCCAGAAGGCCATGCAGCCTGCAGAGTCAGAGGCCCCACGGGCAAGCCTGAGGCAGGCCCCATAGGCCCAGGGCCGCCCTCCGACTCCCTCTCCCCTTGCCCGGCCTCTGGAGTCCCTGTTGCCCCAGGCCCCACCCTCCAGATGCCAGGGGGCTTGTTTATGTACTGGAGCAGCCACAAGTCTTGGCTTGAGCGCTGCTCCCCAGTTCAGGCTTGCTTTTCCTCAACTAAGTGCTGCGGTCTGACCTGTGCTTTCCCTTCTGCTGCGAGACTTGGAAGACCCGTTGGCAGGACTTCTCTCCTATGATGAAGAAGGAATCACCAAGAAGCCGCCTGTGACAGAGAGTAAAACAGCTTCTGACAAGAGCCCCAGCGCAGTCAGAGATCAAGGTAGGGTGGAGTGCGCTCACTTCCCATCCTGGAGGAAGGCTTTATTGGCAACAGGCTAACCAACCTTTCTGGAGCAGAACCAGAGGCCTCTCCTGGCTGGGGACCAGAGGTCTAAGGTCCAGTACAAAGAGATCATCAGCCTTTAGGAATAGGGAGGCAGGATGTGTGAGTCTGGGAGTAGGCTGGAGGAATTGGGTCCCGTGACAGACCGGGCAGGTCTAAAGCCTGTCGTCCTACCCAAAGATGCAGACAAACCACCCCCCAACCCATTCAGACATCACAGCTGAGGGCAAGAAGGCTGTGGGCATTGGGCCTTGTGTTCTGTCTTTCAGGTCCCTCTATTCCGCTAACTCCTGGAGACACCCCCATCCGAAAAAGAGAAGAATTGTTTGACGATGGGGATGACATCATGGCCACCTTGGGGTTTGGAGACAGCCCCAAAGCAGAGAAGAGGCAGATGGGAGACCAGTAAGGATCCCTATGAGTAGGCCGGGCTGCTGCCTGAGGCTGCTGCTTCAGGTTCAGGGAAAAGCTGGTGGACGGGTACTGTGGGGGTCCCAAGAGCCCCTCATACCTACACGTTCCTGCCGTGTGTCCTGTCCTGCAGGGAAGGGCCTCGCCCTGCTCGCTCCACGCTGGATGAGCTGCTGGGTCGAGGCACGGCCACCAAACTCCTGGCCCGCCCGGGCACAGGGGAGCACAGGGAGTTCAAGCTAGACAAGAAGTACCAGAGGCCACAGGGTAAGGAGGCTTGCGGGGGCCACGACAGGACGGGAGGGAGGCCTCTAGATCAGGCTTTCATTACAACCTATAATAAGAAATCAGCCTCACATCCTGATACGCACATGTGATTATACACGTCTGCAGCTGAGACAAAAGCGTCATGTAATAATACTTACCGAGACCACTGTTCGTGCTCGGTCGTCTATGATTGAGATGCTGTTTGATTTGGAAACACACTGACTGTGACACATTAAGCTGGTTTCTCGGCCCCCTCATGGGTAGCAGCTCGCATCTGAAAAGCACTACTCTGGCCAGTGTTTCTCAAAGCATCGGCCCACACGCTGTCCGCTGAGAATCGTTCTTGTGACACATGCAGCTCGCTGGACCTGACCTCGAGGGATCCTGGGGCAGGGCCCGGCTACTGCAAAGCCACTGCATCTTCCTGGCCAGTGCCTGAGGTGCTCCCTTCACAGCAGCTTCCCTCTGCTTGTCTTATACAACAAGCTACCAAATTCAGCTTTTGTTAGAATTTTGCAGCCGCAAATGAGCTCAGTTTCCCCTACTCCAGATCATGGTCACAGGCTCCTTAATTCACAGAGAGTGAAGATGCGTGGGGAGACGAGGACTTCACCTTTGGAGCCTATCAGCCCACCATGGGCTCCTCTGAGGGCCGGCAGTCCCGCAGGCAGTCTGTTAGGTAAGTGGGGCCTGCAGGAGGCCTGGCCTCTGAGACAGATCGTCCACTGGGATGACAGGCCCCTGCAGCTGGCCCCTGTCCCACCCAAGAGTCTCGTGTGGAAGGCCACAGGGTACAAGGCCCTCAGCTCTGTGGGTGCTGGAGGAAGCAGGAGATGGCCTGGTCTCGCCAGCCCAGACAGAGTGGTGGAGATGGCCCCAGTGGGAGCCCCCATCCCAGACACTGCTCAGATTCGCCAGTGCCCCACCCAGCCTCAGAAGGAAAGGAGCAGGTAGGCCTGCCTCCACCTAAAGTCCCTGAAATCATAAAAGGCTGTAATGTCACTCGGTCTCCCCAAGGAACATACATCCTGATGGGTAGCAAGATCTCTACAGTGGCCTCTGCAGTGGCATCTCAGATCCCGCTTCCCAGGAACTCTGCTGTTGAACCTGCCGTGACAATTCGGATAGCGTGATCCTCGCAGTTTACAAAAAAAAAAATTAAAGCAGTGATAGGATTTTCTGAGTCTGGAGTTTTTTTCCCAATATATATTTTAAACTTTGTATTTTGAAGGAATTTCAAACTTCAAAAGTTGGCTGGATGTGGTGGCTCACACCTGTAATCTCAGCAGTTTGGGAGACCAAGGCAGGTGGATCACCTGAGGTCAGGAGTTCAAGAACAGCGTGGCCAACATGGTGAAACCCCGTCTCTGCTAAAAATACAAAAAGTAGCTGGGTGTGGTGGTGGGTGCCTGTAATTCCAGCTACTCGGGAGGCTGAGGCAGGAGAATAGCTTGAACTCCAGAGGTGGAGGTTGTGATGAGCTGAGATTGCACCGCTGCACTCTAGCCTGGGCAATAGAGTGAGACTCCATCTCAAAAAAAAAACTTCAGAAGTTGTAAGAACAGCGCTTCCCAGGTTCAGCAGTTGTTCCCATTATGCCAGGTTGGCTTCCTCAGCCTCTTTCTATCTGAATAGCTCTGTGCATGTTGGCATTTCTTCCCACACCCAGTATGTTCTTAACCCTGGGTACCTGCTGCCACTGGTCAGTGACAGATGAAGGCCATGGCCGAACAAATGAAGTAACTGTTGTTGGAAAACCTGGAAACCACTTGATCCAATTTATTATTTTTTTTAGACAGAGTCTCACTCTGTCACCCAGGCTGGAGCGCAGTGGCATGATCTCTGCTTACCACAACCTCCACCTCCCAGGTTCAAGCAGTTCTTGTGCCTCAGCCTGCCAAGTAGCTGGGATTACAGGCGCCCGCCACCACACCTGGCTTTTTTTGTGTGTTTTTAGTAGAGATGGGGTTTCACTATGTTGGCCACGCTAGTCTCGAACTCCTGGCCTTAAGCGATCTGCCCACCTTGGCCTCCCAAAGCTCTGGGATTACAGGCGTGAGCCACCATGCTCGGCCTGATTTTTCTTTAGACCTGTGTGCCCACGGCTGTCATTTCATTCTGTTCCTGCTCTCTGCGGGGAGAACTGTCCCTGGTTCATGTGATGGAAGTCAAGATCTCTGTACTTCGTTGTTCTACAGATAGCACGTGGTCTGCCACATGAGCCGGTCCAGGAGCCACTGCTTACTGGGCCTCAGCTGAGCGTGCAGGGTCCCTGGGCATCGTGCCGCCCAGCCCCAGGCTGCTAGGGGGCCAATGGGACTGGCTGCTTCCCCTGCCTGACACCCTCCTTTCTGTCTTGAAGTAGGTTCTTAGCAGACAGTGGCCCAGACCCCAAGGGAGAACCAGGCTCCAAACAGAGCCCTCCAGCTGCTTCCAGCCCCATCCAGCCCAGGAAGGGAGGAGCTGACTGGCTGGGCCTCAAGGATGAGGACTTGGACCTGCTCCCTGCCTCACCCACCAGAGAGGCCCGTCGGGAAAGCTCGGTGCCTGTCACGCCCTCAGTGCCTCCTCCTGCGAGCCAGCACTCCACACCAGCTGGGCTGCCCCCCTCCAGGGCAAAGCCACCAACCGAAGGGGCAGGGTCCCCTGCCAAAGCCAGCCAGGCTTCCAAGCTGCGAGCCTCCAAGGAGGAGGAAGAGGAGGACTGGCTGAGCCATGCCCTGTCTCGGAAGAAGTCCCAAGGCCTGGCCAGAGAGCAGCGTGCTGGGGCCTCTGAGGGCCTGAGTTTGGCGGGGACAGCTGGCCATCCCCCTTCTGGCAGGTATGGGCTTGGGCTGCTGTGGCTAGTAGGGGGAGGACTGGCTGCAGACTTGAGGAGCCCCTTTGCCCCTCCACCTGTTGCAGCCTCAGTCGGGAGTTGGGGAACAAGGCAGGGCACTGTGGGCACAGAGGCCGTTTCTTGGCTTTGCTACTCTGCCTTTTGGGCACTGCAGAGAGAGCCTCTGGCTCCCGGGCTTGCCCCAGGGACACACCCAAGAAGGAGGGCTGTTGACATTCATGCCCTGACCGCCATGGGGACAGGTGCTAACTAGATCGGGCAGAAGACAGAGGGTACCTGAGGTGGCAGACACACCGCTGCCCTGTCACAGCACCCTCAGGCTGGAAGCCCCAGCGTCCAAACAACTGGTGCTTCTGCCGACTCCACTGAAGTGAATATGGCGTGTGTGAGACGAAATATCCCTGTGCTCTTTGAGAGTGTTAGAAGAGACACAGTGGCCAAGAGGCACCTCCTGGCAAGCCCCTATCCATGGGGCAGGATAGCAACTGACCTCTGAGGGCAGGAAGGCACAAGGGGCCAGCAGGCTGGGGGAGTCCAGAGGAAGTGGTGAGATGTGCTGTGGCCAGAGCCCAGGGTAGTGAACTGGGGAATTTGTGGCAGCCCAGGGACGTCACCCAGTCCTGGGGTTAATGAGGGCAGTTTTGACTTTGACCTGAGGCCGAGGGGAAAGCTCAGGCCAAAACAGATGAGAGCCTGTCTCTTCACTGACCTGTGAGCCGAGAAAGAGGTGGGAATAATGGGAAAGGGAGCCAGCCAGATTTGGGAGACTAAGCAGAACCTTAATCTAGAGCTGAGCCAAGTTAAGTGGGCTGGAACAGGGCTCTGAACTTGAACTTGACGCCAGTGTCTATAACATTTCCATTGTCACTGCTTGGACCGTGTCCATTCACTGCGCCACTGTGGACACTGAGGCAGGAAGGGGGTACTTGAAGGGAAGAGATGCCCAGAAATCCCAGGAGCTCAGATGTGGGAGGAGAATGCCCCAAGATGGGATGATGGGAGCAGGAGGAAGGGCGGCCACGAGCTTCACGTGTGAAGCCCGTCCTGGGACCCATCTTCATCCAGCCTGACCTGGGCCTTCTGTCACCTTCACCTTGAATGCTGCCTTTCCTCAGCCAACCTGTCACCAGCACACAAGGACTTGAGCAAGCAGCTACTGGAGGGAGCTCCGGAACAACCGCACAAGAAAGACCGTGTGTCAGGCCTGGTGACTCGGGGTAGGCCTGGGCTGCGGGCTGAGTGGGAGTGAGATCGTGGTGGGCAGCACAGGCCTCTGTCCTTAGAGAGGGACACAGAGGCTGCTCACGCTGCCCCATCCCCATGCCCCACACAGAGGCTGCCCACCCTGCCCCGTCCCCGTGCCCCACACAGAGGCTGCCCACCCTGCCCCGTCCCC